TGCTCCAAGCCCTGTCCAACCTGGCCTGGGACACTTCCAGGGATGGGGCAGCCACAGCTTCTCTGGGCAAATGTCCTCAAATGTCCTGCTCCCTTGGGGGCAACTCAGTGGGGATGTTTCTGAGGTGAGGGAAGTGCTCTGGCCATGCACACCCCCAGGATTCCCTGGGTGTTTGTGCCCTGTTCAGGAGGGGGATCAGAGCTCCTGCACCAGCCAGGCTCTCACAGCTCTGTCTCCCTCCCATTCCATCCAGGAGAGCCTGGAGAGTGCCCTGATGGGGACGCACCAGGAGCTGGAGATGTTTGGGAGCCAACCTGCCTACCCAGAGAAGCTGCTGCACAAGAAGGAGTCGCTCCAGAACCAGCTCATCAACATCCGTGTGGAGCTGTCTCAGGCCAGCACGGTAACGGGCCCCTCCCTCTTCCTGGGGACCTTCACAGCTCCCACTGTGTCCCTTCTCTCCCTTCCTGGAAAGAAAACAAAAAGGGAATTCCCCTGAACTGGCTGGGGGCCAGAGGAGCCAAAATCCCTCACGGGGCACAAAGCAAATTAGCCCTGGAGGTGCCATCCAGCCACTGGTTCTGTCCCTGTCCCTGCCTGTTGGCACCGGGTGCTCCCACGGGCACCTCAGAGCTTGTCCCCTCTTCTGCCACCCCTCCCCAGCTCGGGGGGCTGTGTTGGGTGCAGCCTCCTCCTGCTTTCCCGGGTGGTCCAGAGCTGCTTCCAACCAGGGGAGGAACCTGCCAAGGACCCCCCTGACCCACCTTCCCCCCAGGCCTTGGCAAACAGCACCGCCGAGTACGAGAGCCTGGAGAGCGAGGTGTCCACCCTGCACGACGACCTGTGGGAGCAGCTGAACCTGGACATCCAGGTGAGTGGGTCCCCCTGACATCCCTGGGGTCCCCCCAGGGGGGTGGACCTCCCCCCAGTTCCCTCAGCCCTCGTGTCCTGCTCTGACCTCTGCCTTTCCTCCCCGTCCAGAACGAAATGCTCAACCGGCAGATCCAGAAGGAGATCTGGCGGATCCAGGACGTGATGGAGGGGCTGAGGAAGAACAACCCGTCCCGTGGCACCGACACTGCCAAGCACAGAGGTGAGTGGGCTCTGTCCCTGCCCAGCCAAGACCCCAGTGTGCCATGTCGTGGAGTGTCCCTGGTGACTCTGGGCAGACAGCAGCTCCTGCTCGGGGACATGGTGGCCCTTATTATTATCATATTATTACCTTATTATAATCATCTCATTATTATCTTATTCCTGCTCCTCTCCACAGTGGCCCTGGGCCCCTCGGGGACGTACAGCTCCAACAGCCCTGCCAGCCCCCTGAGCTCTGCCAGCCTCACCAGCCCCCTCAGCCCCTTCTCCCTCATCTCTGGCTCCCAGGGCTCGCCCACCAAGCCCGGACCTGGCGAGGTGAGTGAGTGGGGGAATTTGGGGTGGGATTGGGGGATGCTGGGCACCAGGCACAGAGCACAGATGCCTCTCCTCGTGGCTCTGCCTGGGGGCACCGTTTGGGCCACACAGATGGTGGGATGCAGTGTCCCCCTCAGCAGTGGGGTGGGATGCCCTGTCCCCCTCTGCCCAGGGACACAAAGACACTCCGGAGCCGCCGCTCTCCCTCCTGCCCTCCTTGGCTCGGCAATTCCACTGTGTGTTGTCTCTTGGCCTCTCTCTAACTCTCTCTTCCTTCTCTGCTCTCCCCCCTCACGCTCCGCCCCAGGAACCAGGCCCGCCTCGACCTCCCCTCCCCAAGTCCTACGTCCCCCTGGAGTCTCCTCCGGCCGTCCCTCCGCTGCCCAGCGAGAGCCGCCTCTGGCCGTACCCCACGTCCCCTTCCTGGCAGCACGGCGGGGCAGAGGCCAAGCGGGGACAGGTACCGAACCCAGGGCAGCTGCCACCCCGTGCTCCTCCTCCCCGAGGCGTGGCAGGGGCTGGCATGAGGCAGGACACGGAGCTGCCCACCCCGAGCCCGCAGGGACGGCATGGAGGTGGCACTTGGCGTGGGGACAGCAGCACGTGGCTCTACCTGCCGTCCCCTCAGCAGCCCCCCCATGGCCCTCGTGTCCCCACCAGGTCCCCAGCGCCCACTGTGCTCGCTCAGGACACGGATTGTCCCCTCCTGGGCAGCCCCCAAGGCTGCCACAGCCCTTGGCATCACCCTCTCTGCTTTCCTCTGCCCTCACCTCTCTCGCTGTCCTTCCGTGGCACCGCTCCCTGTGTGGTGCTGGCGGGCTCTGCCCGTGGGGGTGAACCCCCGGCTCCTGCCCACCAGGGCAAACCTGGATGTGGGAATTGCTGCTGCTGCCTCGGCCGTGCTCGTGCCAGGGGAAGGGGCCAGGTGTGGACACCAGGAGCCGCTGGTGTCCCTGCAGCTGGGGGCTGGGATGTGTGTCCCAGGGGGCTGGCACTGCAAAGCAGAGCTGGGAAGGGTCACACTGCCAACACAGGTGGCACTTCCAGCAGCTGTGGGTGGCACAAGGGCGGTTGCACGTGGATCCATGGGGTGTAAGGGGTGTCTGGGTTCTCTGTGTCCATTGAGGGGGCACCCTGGGCTGCTTGGCCCATTGCCACAGCCCTCCCTCACACCAACAATTCCTGGGCTCCAGGCAGGCTGTTCCCATGGGACACGAGGTGGGAAAGGACCCCAGAAATGGCCCTTGGCTCACTCTCATGCCTGTCCCAACTCCTGCCCCTGTGGGACCACCCCCCTTCCCGCAGGCACAGGGTCTGGCTGGAGCCCAGCACAGAGCCAGGGTGTCCCTGTCCTAGAGCTCCTGGGTGCCGTGGTGGGATCATCAGCCTTTCAGGGAGCTTTTCCTGTGGAGAAGCCTGGCCTGTGGCTGGTGTCTGTGTGTCCATCCACTGCCAGGAGCATGTCCGTGGTCCGTGGCTGTGGAGAGCAGGGGGTGTCCCCAGGCAGAGCGTGGCCCCCAGACAGGACAGGGGGGCTCATCAGGGCCCTGCTTCCCTCCCACAGCCCAAACCAGGCTTCGAGCAGAGCAAGAAGGAGGTGCAGCGACCCAGCCCCCCCGGCCCCCCGGGCGAGGGGCTCCTGCAGGGCCGGCAGGAGCAGGATGCAGAGAAGCAGGCGGCTCTCAACAAGGGTATGGCTC